TTAAAAAATAAATAAGTAAAAATAGTAAAAAATATCATTTATTAAAAATATGCTTACATTTATTAGTTTAAAAACATCGTATGTCAGTTGTGGTCTTTCCAAGTATGTGGATTATTAATTCTTCTTTTATATGATTTAATATCCGTTACTAAATCTTATACACCCTTAAAACTTTTTTGAACAGCTTGCGCCCATTGAATATTATTGGCATTTTCCTGTTTTTGCACGATTTCAAGTGCGTCATAAAGTATTGATTTATATTGTTTGAATAGTTGAAGTGATTTGTTATTTTTATCATCAATAGAAATTAAATTTGTAATATCATTGAGGGTATCAACTATATAAATAAAGATATTTTTTACAGAATTTAATTATATTATCATTACGTATTAGAAAATCGATTCTGCAAAATAAAATAAATTACAAATTTTAACTTGTTTTCTTACCTGTACTTGAATGCATGATTTGTGTAGTTGAAGATTGAACCTGAAATTGTGATGGCAAAAATATAAAAGGATAAATTTCTTGCCGTTGAACATCTTTAAAAAAAGACTTATTAATAATAAATTGGGATGCTTGAACAAGATGTTTGCAGAGAAAAAACCGATTGGTCAAAAATCCCAAACATCCGCAGATCTATTTTTCAACATCAATAGTATAATGATTATTAATCGGTTTTTCCTTTAGTGACATCCACTCTTTTTTAAAATCTTTTCTCCAGGATGGTTTTTCACGCTTATTATAATATTTGTTATATTGCTGGTTTTGGTGCAGAATTAAACGGGTAATTATTATATAAGTTAATAAATCAAGACGTGGCCTAAAAAATTTAGGCAGAAAATCCTATTTAATAACTTTCCAGTGCGATTCGCATAACATTGTAGTATGAAATATGCAAATCTTATAATATGCAGATCGTGTCCACAATACCCAGAGTTCTTTATGATACCAATGTTCCCACAAATAAATCCACAATAGTTTTAAATTATGATAAACGCAAAATTCATAAATTTGCTTAGTTGATTGTTCCCAGATTTCATGTGCTGTTAAATAACATCCGCTAGTATTTGGAATTAAAGGATGTAAATGCATATGTTGTTCCATCATCTTTATAATTGTATCTCGTAATTCTTTGGGACAAAAGCAAAAACTTTTTTTTTGCATTGGAGTTATTTGTGATGGTGGTGTTGGATGGAAATTAATATCAATAAACTCAAATACCTCATGAGCAGAATATGAGCTATAATGAATTACTTTTGGATATGTATTATCTGTAAGACATTTTTTAAGTGCCTTCTTAATGTACCAAAAGCAAATTTGAATTTTGGCATTTGGCCAGACTTTTTGTGCAGCAGAAATTTCTGAAAAATCTTTATCCGTTAGAATAAAATAAATATTATTTAATCCTAACTTAAATAAAGATTCAAAAAATAAGGTTAAAATGCTTGTGCATGCACCGTTATTTTTTTTAACCCCTTCAACAAACAAATATGCAAGTGCAAAACCGGCTCCATCATATTAACCAATAATCGCATACAACTCATATCCTAAAATATTTGTTTTATACGTAGCGTCCATAACAATTTCATTATTATTTTTTAATAATTCAAAGAATGGTGTTATAAAGCCCAAGTATTTGATTCCTTGATTATTGATTAAAATCATCTTAAGTTCATTTTCTTCTACAAGAATTTTTGTTGAATTTAATTGATCATTATAATCATGCTCATATTCCTTTTTTAGAAAATAAGTCCACCATGCATGAACCTGTTTTTGTGTTAGGTTTGGATTTTGTTGTTCTAGTTGTCTAAAAATATCTGCAGGTGTACGATGAATATTTTGTTGGATTTCAGCCTTAACATTATCAGTTACATTAAATCGATCTGGACGTCTATGAAGTAAATTATGCTGGAGATCAACCATTGCTACATTCATTTCCATATCTAGTAAAATTTTTAAAACACCATTACAAGTAAACTGATCGATATATTCTCTATCACGTTGTTTATTAGAATCATCATATTTTCGTGGATGCTTAGCTAAAGTACAACTTTGTGAACAGTTGTACCAATAAGTATAGTTATTAAAATTTTTTTGAGATCTATAGGCTTTGTGGTAACTAAAGTTAAATGATACTGATCTTATTAGTAAATATATAATACTAAATAAGTATTATCAAAAAAAAACTGTAATTAAATATATATATATATAATTTATAAATCTAATTACAAGTTTTCTCTTAATAATACACAACAAATATATAAAAATTATAAATCATTAAAACAAATTAATAGTCACGTACATATAGTAATATCCATCAGCTGATCCTACTATTTCAGCAATTGCTTTTCCAAGTTCGTGAGGTTTACTTTCTAACGAAGTAATTGATATTTCACACCGAAATTCTATACCAGAATTTTTATTTTCCATATGCTCATCATTTCCAACTTAAAGAATATATTCAAATAATGTTTTTTTCATTTCTTTTGGCTCAATAGGATCTTGAATGTTAGGATTTTGAACATTAGGATTTTGAACATTAGGATTTTGAATGATAGAATTTTGATCGCAAGATATATTTTTATTAAACTTTGTGGCGTAGTAATTTTTTAAATCTTTATTTTGACACTGACAACATGTTTTTGTAGACTTCCCAGTTTTACTAACAAAAGCCGTGTTTTCTAAACTTCTACTACATCAATCACACTTGCACACACTGTTAGACATCATTTAATTTGGTAAAAAAATTTTTTACATTTTAGCAAATGCTTTCGCTATAAATACAGTATCAGTGATAAGTAAAGTGATCTAAATGTAATACAAAATTTAAAAGTGAAACATACTACGTATATACATATATACAATATACATCTAATAAATTGTTAGTAAAATATTATTGGCTAGAATTGGACACAAATGTCGTGATTGAATATGTAAAATTCTATTGGTCGAAATGTAGTACAAATCTTGTATTACTGAGAATTTTTGGTGGTGCTCTTGGAGTAGTTAAATTTTGGGGTGAGCTAGAGCAGTTCGTGATTACTGTATATGAAAAATTATATTTACAAAACTTACACACTATTGTAATGACATGCAGTATGTGGTTTAGAAAATTTGTAGGGTTAAATTGTATTCAAATTCTCGTGATTTCTGCCATGATCATAATCTACTAAATTTCTGTTACAACTTACCGACTGTAACGCACAATATGTGTGGTTTAGATAAGTTGTAAGATTAGTTTGTATTTAAATTTTTGTGATTTTTATCATGATTTATTGTATGTAAAAAAAATTTTGTTACAAACTTACAGACTATTGTGGTGATACACAGTATGCGATTTGGATAGTTTGTATGGTTAGTTTGTATTCGAATTCTTGTGATTTCTACCGTGATTTACATTATATATAGCAACCGCATAAAATAATCTTACCCAGATGCGGCAGCAAATTTTCGCGGATATTCTATAGAATAGGTGGGCAATATAAGAAATAAGCTTTGTTAATGATTAGTAATCATTAATTTTTAATAGCGGAGTTGCAGAGTTTGCGGAGTTTGCCCACCTATTCTATAGAATGCCCTAAGTGAAAAAAAACAAACTACCACTGCATCGCCATTTAAAATGAAATCTACATTTTTTACTCAACCTGTTAACCTTCTAAAACCCACAAATACTTGTTTATTATAACTTTAAAACTAACCCCCAACCCTAAAAAATGCACCCCAAAAAAATTTATTTTTCGAGATTTTATATTATGATCCGTCACAATAATTGTGACGGATCATGATGAAATTCAGATCAAAATGAAATTATAATATAAAATCTCGAAAAATAAAATTTTTTGGTGTGCATTTTTTAGGGATAGGGGTTAGGGTTAGGGGTTAGTTTTAAAGTAAAATTATAATAAAAAGGTATAAGTGTGTTTTAGAAGATTAACAGATTGAGTAGAATAGGAATTGGAACCGCCTAAAATTTTTCTTAATTGTCTAATCGTTTAACCGTTTAATTTGGCCGGCATTAAAATAATTCCAGCTCACAACCAATATAATTCTGCCCGGAACTATGAAGCAAATTTTAAACGATTAAACGGTTCCAATCCCTAAAGTAGAAAATGTAGATTTCATTTTAAATTATGATCCGCGACAATTATTGTGACGGAATCAGATTAAAATAAACTACCGAAAAATACAAATTTTTGGGATGCACTTTTTTTAGCATTTCTTTAGGATTAGCATTAGGGTTTAGGAGTAGGTTTTATAATAAACAAGTATAGGTAGGTTAATACATGATAGTGGGACGAATAGAAACCTCTCATTTCATTTTAATCTGATTTCATTATGATCCGCGACAATTATTGGCTAGTTAATGCACAGAAGGATTTTGAGTTATAGGCGATGGTTGAGTTTTCTTGATAGTGTAACATTACACCTGATCCTGAAATCTAATTTGTTTGAGATCATGTGTCTGCGGAATATCCTCAGAGGAAGATCCCATTACAGGCAAACAACAGGAACAGTGCCTCTTATATAGATCTTTGTTTAACGTTATACAACTTATAATTTTTTTTTATATTATTTTAAAGTACTTCGGACATCTTGTATTACTCGCTTGCGTAATAACCTAAGCGCCAATAGGTTACTAAGTGAACTTGAAGCTTTTGTACTGTAGAAAGAAAATATCGATTGAATCCACTTGAATCTAACGACCTTAAGCTTATAATCAAAATGGCAGATGTTAAAAAATGCTTAGAATGTAAAACTACTGTTTCCTAAAGGTTTCGCCAGTTAGGTGCCGAAATGTGGCAAGAAGTTGTAACTAAAGGTTTGGTAAGAGAATCGTGGCATGACAAGATGATGCTTTGTAGTTCTTGTTATATGAAATATGTAGTAAATCCTATTAAAAGAGGGAAAAAAGTTACTAATAAAGACGTTGTAGAAGAAATTAAGATAGGTATTGAAGAAACAGAAGAAATGGACATCTTGAGCAATAGTTTTGAGCTCGTTGAAGCCATAAGGTTTATGGCAAAAATTCTTTACAATAGAGAAGTTAAAGAAAAACAAAAACCTATTTATAAGTTCGACGAATTACGAAGGTTACTCGAGGATCAAGATTCTAATTTAATTTATTTCTTTGATCAATTGTATTTAGCAGCACGTCCATCGGAACGTAACAATCAAACTATGGAGCATATGAAAAAAATTATGGTGTTCATTTGCTATCTTCTTGCTTCGTTAAATAATACACAAATTAATGCCTTTAAGTCAGATCTTGCATTTTATTTAGATTCGGCTGGAACGAGTAACAAAGACTTAAATACAATGCCAAATATCGGCATTACTACGACGTCAAGGACAGTAAATAGAAAAAAAAAGAAGATATCAGAAATGCATGAAGAATATGTTAGAGATGATCTTATAGAGCATTTAAACAATGCTCTTATACTTAATATTGATGATTATCATAACATCCACGTTCAACAACAACCCCATACTACTGCTACTTCTTTACCAACTCATATGGCAACAATCGTGGCAAATCCGTGCTTAACGTTAGCGATACCATGTAATCAAGTAATTAATCCTAAAATCGTGGATGGGGAATTAATCATAAGGAATATAGATAAGTGTTTTATTGTAAATCTTGGTGTTCCTTATTATAAGTATATAAAAAATTGTGTAAAGAAGGAATATACTGACATCGAGCTATTAGAAAAACTTACTTTACATAGCTACGATGATAGATTGGCGGAAAAGAAAAGCGAATGACATATTAAGAATTGTATCCTTTTCGATTTTGTTAAACGCGGTTTAAAGGGAATTGAAGGGTATTTAGATTCACTTCAAACTGTATATAAGCAGGAGCCAATGCAGGAATACCTTTCCAAATTCGCGATTTCCGTTGTTGCAGACTGGCTCAGTCAATTCTACATTTGTAAAGCAATAGCACAGAAAGTTCTTTTGGATAATCCAAACGTTTCTGAATTTGTTACAGCATTCCTACCTATGATGGGTTCTCTTCACGTCTTATTGAACGGCCGCGAACTTGTTTTTAAGAAAAACGCATTCTTGTTTAATGATATTTATAAAAGTGTTTTTGGAATTCGTAAAGATCTTGGTAAGAAACCACGGCCATGGTGAATTGATTTAATTCTCTATATAGTACATTTGGCGTGGTTTGAAATAGAAGATTTTATTTTCTCAAAATTTGTTTATGCATGCAAAAATATAGAATTTTTGTATTTAACTAACCTTTTTAGTAATTTAGTTCCTTTAGTTTTAGACGTTTACGCGATACATCATCGAGAAGGAAACTGGTTAGCTTATGAAGAGGTTACCATTTTTACGTTGTTGGAGTGATCTTTTTTTACAGTTCGACTGAAAAAATTATAAGCGTGCACCTTTGATGTTCTTTTCAGACATTTTTTATTGGATAGAAACCAATCATCCAATAATTAATTTTATTATTAACCATCTCGCTACTTTAAGTGATTCTTCTGTAGAAATATTTTACAGTATTATTAGACGGCGTACCTCTAAATCTTCAACAGGTGAACAATTATGAATTGCTGCACACACTACTTATCAACAACGTCACAACAATGATTTTCAACAACAATTCGTGCGGTCTGAAAAGTATCCTTATTCTCCAAAACAATTGCGCATGCTTTCTCAAAAATGCGCTATATATCTTTTGGAATTATTTACTAAAATATATCGTATATACGATATAAGTTCATTTATTATTAGTTCTTCTAATAATATTAATATCTATAAATTATCTTCATTAGGTTATGAAATCATGGACCATCATCTTCCAAGAGGTTTTGTTACATCGAAAAAACCCAATATTTTTGCCATATGCGACTCAATTCATTGCAATACACCTTATGATTTGTCGAATGGTAGTGTTCTAGCATGCGGACACGGTTACCATAGTTATTGCT